CTTCATAATTCAAATCACAAAACAATCTTAGACCACCATTGAAAACTTAGAATCATGGATTCACCATTTCGTCCCAGTATGAGAATTCTCAATAGTGAGCATTCATTTTACACCATATTTTACTTCTCATTCGCCTAATACTGTTTAGATAACTTAGTGGACTTTTATTTGAACTAATTAGTTAATTTATCGGGATATATAGTGACCAACCAGCTTGTTTACCACAACAATACAAACTCATACCTACCTAATTATTTACCCTCATTTTATGTATGCTCTGATATGGATATTCATCAATATTTGAACGAATAGCTTGACAGAAATTACCTGATATTATTGCCATGGCTATTGTGATTCCTGACCCCCCTATTGATGAATATTTAGGGGTATGATCATAAATATTTTATAGTAAATGATTGATCTGTGTTCATTTAATTAGTAACACACTTTTTATTACCTGTAATCATTCATTAATCAATTGTCAATATTGCATTGTTGTAATTTGATTAGTTGATACTTAATGCTGATCTGGCTTTTGAGATGTAAAAAACTATCATTCGACTTGAAACAGTGAATATTTAACCTACGGATAAAATTAGCGGATTATTGTAGCTAAAGTGACTTATGAAATCACAACTTTCAAGGCTTGCCAGTACAATTCATTAGTCGAAAAACGACCAGTTACAAAATCCTTGTTAATGGTGTAAATCATTCATCTAGTCGAGTAAACGTACTATATATACTCCAATATGTATCATTAGTGTTGGTTGATTACTTAATTGCATAGAACACTACTTTTCCAACATCAGACTGTGAAAACATCAGGTTTTCAGTTAAAAAAAAAAAGACTAAATAATATCTTGTAGTTGAATTCATGAGTCAGTTAAAGCTAGACCACCATGGGAAACCTGGAAGCACCGGACGACCGCTCGATTCTAGTTTGGGACTCTTCAGCAGTGCGCATCCACGACTCCACTCGCAGGATTCAAAACCGGAACCTATCGGTCTCGCGCGCGAATACTTAACCTCTAGACTATTGAACCTGTATCCAACAGTGTTAATGTTTAACTTCCACCGATCGACAATTATTTACAACTGAAGAACATTTGGAACTCAAAACAACTGTCAACCAACACCAAGGTCAGAATTTTCATCACAAATGTCAAGACAGTTCTACTGTATGGGGCAGAAACCTGAAGAACTAGGAAAGCCGCCATCCAGAAAATACAAGTGCTTATTAACAGCTGTCTACGCAAAATACTTCAGATCCGTTGACCAGACATTATCAGCAACAATCTACTGTGGGGAGAGCAAATCAGATCTTAGCGAAGGAAGAAGCGCTGGAAGTGGATAGGACACACATTGAGGAAAGTACTCAACTGCTTCACAAGGCAAGCCCCACTTGGGACCCTCGAGGCCAAAGACGAAGAGAAAGACCAAAGAATACATTGCGCCGAGAAATGGAGATAGGCATGAGAAAAATGAACAAAAATTGGATAGAATTTGGAGGGAAACCTCAGGACAGAGTGGGTTAGAGAATGCTGAGTCAGCGGCCTATGCTCTATTAGGAGTAGTAACAGGCAGTCACTATCATATACACTTATGTAGGCATATCCTGTTTTCTTATTATTATTCCAATCCCATTCATGTATTTTCATAGATATTCTATGAATTTATCCTCAAATTAGTGAAATAACTGTTTACTTTGAAAACGATATTAATCCAATTAATGTATGAATATTGTATACCATATACTGTTGACCTAATTACTGGTATTATAGAAATCATACTTTAATAGATCAGTTAAATGTTGAAAGATTACTTTAAGTAAAACAAAATATATTTCTTTTATTAAGTTTAACATGAAATCATTTAAAATAGTTTTGTTTATTTAAGTTTAAACAAACACTATATTATTGACCTATAAAATCTATTCAAATTATGCTTGACAGAATAAGTAAACATTTGTTTACCATTGATATTTATGAAAAATGAATTAAATCAAGATCATACTACTACTACTACTACTTCCGATTTCAATTAGTTACAAATATTGTTTGTTTTTGTTTAGTTTGAAAAAAAAGGAAGGAACTCCTTCCCATACACCGTGGAATATTTGTTTAGGTCATAGATATTGATAAAAATGGTCACCAAACATATATGCGTCACACAATTCACTTGATTTGTGTGTGGGATGTGATACTACCCGGGTAATTAAACTGAAACAGATGGCTTTCTTAGTGAGCCATACCTCAAGCATTTGACGTAAAGGTCTGATCCACATGGCAGTGGAGCAACGTTAAAAGATGCAGTCCCATTGTAGCCGGTCACCAACGATTGGTTTATACGCCATTTGTTCCTTCAGGATCCTGGAACATTGATATGGAATCAAGTTTTTCAAACTCCCTCAAGTAGATCATCCATATCCACCAACCCGGTTAGGGCTTTTCATCCTCTGAATTTCGTAAACAACAGTAATGCTGCTAGAAGGCAGTGAGTATGACTTCCCTGATAATGGTTGTATACGCGTGACCGTGTGAAAGCATTGGGAGAGGTACGTTTGGGGCATGTTCAAACTGACATCGACTACACCTTTGTAATGGACTAAAAAATATCGACCCTAGAAATTAGGCTGAAACTGACATTTTAATGGTATAAAACTAGATATATGACAGATAATTGTTTTCTATTGTGATATTTTTTGTAAGAATTGAAGAAGGAATTTTATCGAAAATGTGGAAGATTGTAATAACTTTGAAGAAAATTTACCATGAGAGTACTGATCGATGCATTTTTTTCTTTTGCCTAGACATTCTCTATACAGGTATAACTAATTATAGTTAAACTACAATTATGATTTAAATTTCATTGAATGTACTGAAAGAATGACAAACAACACCGTGGACGAAAATATCACTTTGCATTTATTCCACACACACACGCACATACACACTTAACGTTCATTATCCAATTCCAAGTAAAATCTGTACTGATTGACATAAGTGAATAAATAATGCAAAGTAATTTCATGTGTATCTCTTAAACATTCACTTTGTGATGTGTGCTACTGATATCGACATATATAAGTAGTATGTGTTTACCACCCGAAAGTGAAATACCTGGAGGCGAAAGGTTAAGAAGATCAAATAAAAGAGAACAAAGAATGATTGGTGTGGAAATGAAGGAACAATCAAGTCTGAGACAAATGATTAACATTTTGCAAATGAATTATTTACTGTATGGTTCTCAGATTTCACTAAATGATTCTGTAATTTTGTGTTCAAATACTTTCGATTGTCTCCACTTGTGTTCTTGCTCACTACAGCTTCACCAATCAAGGGAACAGGATATTTGCTCTTCGGTGACTCCTGCTGTAATTGGTACCAACAAATACTATAGTTATACATTCTGTACAATCGATAACAATACTATAGCATATTTTCTTGTTGATAGAGGTGCAACCAGTGTTAACAACTCGAATCTGTGAAATGTAGGTACTATTTTCCTGAAACCTATCTCAAAACTATATGTTGGAGCTCTTAATATTCGAACAATATGTCAAATCAGGCAACAGGTTTCATCAGCTAAGACTAGAATCTCATGTCATCTATTTATATTGTCTCCGAATCCTGTATACGAGATCCCAGCAGGGTCATCCATGTGAGAGTACAGAGATCCAGCAAGACTCACCCTTTGTTCATCTCTAAGGCAAAATACCAACTTTCATGTCTCTGACATTAAGTTTGAAAGTAAAACAAGTAATGCTTTCTTCCAGCAGTTATTTGGGTACTGTCCGATTAAATGGTACAGTAAGAACTCAAGAATACTGTTATAACTTGTGACCGCCTATTAATGTGCAGTGGCTTATCGATCGGATCAATGATGCGTAAAACCGTATGAGCAGTCTACAGTCTTGATTGGCCTTGCTTTCAGTCTAGCCCAGTCAGTTAAGTCCAGAACACAAGTTTCAGCCTCTGCGATATGAATTATTTATTTCAAACATACTCGATTTATATATCAACCAGATAGACCACAACGTACCATAAAATAGAAAATAACATTTGTATAATATTTGGCCAACAGGAAAGTGACACGTGAAATAAATATTGACCAATAGGAAAATGATACCATTTCAAGTCCAAGGATAGCATTAGACTTAACAGGATAATTTTTCTGAATATCCCAACAAATACCCCGTAAAATGTTTTTCACTAACGTTTTTTATACCTTTCATCTATCTATACCAGCTTTCGCACAGCTGACTTAACCACAATAGGTCGCATTTACAACGCTGTTATTAGAGCAGTTTTGCTACATGCTTATCGAACCTAGTCTACCCAAAATGGGTATGTATTACTCAATGTTTTCATGTTGAAAAGTTTTATTGGCTTTCATAGTGCACAGAACTTACCGACTTAAGCAATGGTCAACTTATGATATGGCACCGTGCAGTGGAGGACAGTTAGTTGTATTAGATTGGAGCTCATCTGCTCATTAAGACAACTGTAGATAGAATTTTAGTGATCGAACATTTCAGCAAATCCAAAAGTTATAAAACATTACTTTGATTAATGATGACGCTGATGTGATTAACTACTACTATTACACTCCTAGGAAACAGTAAAATAAACCCTTCGAATAAACAAAATCCATCTTGTTTGTGTTTTACTCGAATTGTGTATTATAACACTTGTCATTCCCTGTTACTTATATTTTCTTTACAATATTGTTATTTTTATATAACAAACTACTTTTTCCACTATTAGGTAACATAAGTTAATAAAACCTTATATAGGGTCGAACTCTGAAATTGTCAGAATACAAGAGAAGGAGGACATTCTTTAGAAAAATATATAAACAAAGAAACTTGAAGAAATGCCTCAATATGAAAGCGTAGCTAATACGATCACGTTTAAAGGTAAAATACAGTGAGAGAGAGAAAAAAAACATTAACTAGGCTTCTACTGTACAACTTCATGAAATGAAATCACTAAACACAACTACTTGGATGGAGTCTTATAACCCATATGAACTGATACAATACCATTTGAATAATTAATCCAATTAACACCATCAAATTTTGATTGTGTAATGATATGAGCAAATTCTTCTTGATTAGGAAATTGACGAATACTTTCAACTAAATATTTGTAAGAATTCCAATCACCTGCAATAAGTTGACCAATTACAGGTATTAACTGCATAGAATATGTGTTATATATGCTGGAATTAAAACAAGTATTTTAGAAAATGGTGGTAATTGAGAAATTATGATCTTTTAAAGCTTATTTTTTAAAATATAACTAATTTGCATATTTAACAGAAGGGTATGTAAATAAACAAAAGACGGCTTGACAACTGTCCACATAAACAATATGGAAGAGAATAACCTTAATCCTATTTATATTGGTATGATCAACAGGTATTTATTTATACACATAAACATTGGTACGAGGAGGCACCAAATATATATGCGCCATATAAATCATTCGATTTGTGAGAAGGATAGAATACTGTCCAGGTGCCCAAACCGAAGCAGGTGAGCCACACCCGGGCCTTCGACCTAAAGGTCTAATCCACAAGGCAGTGGAGCAACGTCAGGATATGCAGTCACATGGTAGCCGGTGATTAACGATTGGTTCATACGCCATTTGTTCTCTCAGGATCGTGGAGACCATACGTACCATTGGTTTGGAATCAGGGTTTTTCAACTCCCGTGAGTGGACCCCCCATATTCACCGAACTGGTTAAAGCGCCGGATAGTCGCTTTTCGTCCCCTTAATTTCGTAAACAACAGTAATGCGGAGAAGAGGGAGTGAGTACGACTTGTGTGCCAGTGGTTGTATGCACGTAGCCATGTGAGAGCATTTCTAGAGGTAGAGCTTACTCTCCCCACTCTCCGCTGTACCAGCGCACTTGGGGGTACGACTTATATTATGCTGAACTAGGATAAAATATATTTTTACGTCACACACTTAGTTGCCGGGTGAAGAATCGTCATATATCTATGATTTTTTGGCAAAGCGATTTCAAATTAAGATACCTACTGAGATACACCAAATGCATTATACAATCTGCAATAAATAATGCCTTCTTTACAGACTATAGTAGGTACAGTGTTCTCGATGTCGTAATTATGATGTACATCAGTGCAACCGAACGTAGCTTGAATAGGAACCATTACATTCAACCCAACAAAAGCCAGAGATATCATATATTTTTGAAGTAACTAACTGGAAGGATTCAGAACTGAGTGCAATTTTCACTTGATCATCCTCCAGCTTTTTTAATTGTATTATCAACTAAATAGTATTTGCAGCAAACTGTCCAGCGAGACATCGAGGTAATAGCAAGCGTTAGGTACGTTGAAAAATATTCTAGGACTTACTAGTCGTAAACCAAATAAAGGAGATTGTTCTATGAAATTTTATGAAGACCACACCATGATTTGAACTAACAAAAATTCAGCCACTACTAATGTTTCATCCTATTTAACAACTGAGACCTGAATTCCAGCAAAACATAGCGAATTCATCAATAAGTACCGATGCAAACAGCAAGTGTATTAGTAAACCTAACCTTCAGTAGTAAGCCGGTAATTGTTCTTGAGTCTATATTAATAAGAACAATCCTGATAGAGAACCAGGGTACAATTGAAACTAATCACTAGTTAACCAGATGGCATATACGGTTGTTTATTGCAATAACAAGACGTAAAGTGAACAATAAATTCACTTGTTTTCTGTGGATACTATGGTGGTAAAAGGCAGGATTTGTGAGACCCAAAGACCTGATTAGTCCTTTGGAGCAGAAGTTTTCAAATGACCATCGTCGTCTAATACATGACCTGACGCTTGGATGAGTGAGTATAGATTTTGAAACAGTGCAGAAAGGTGTTCAGTATGGTATGGCCTTTTAGGGTTGTTTCACTGACATTAAAATGTGATATAAGTTGCACAGAAATCATGAGGCTATTCGTCAAGGAAAAGTTGAGGGGCAATATGTTAACGAGAATATTAGTTGTGAACAAAGAATGCGTTCCCTATGAAAATAACTAACTTTCTGAATAAGTTATTTTCAACTTTGCTAAATTCCAAACAGTAAAATCGACCCCAGGGACGTAGTACTCGATAGGCTTCTGAAACAACCTAAAAAAATTCTGAAACGAATATAAATAATTCTACCTTTTCAATATGTGTGCAATTGCGTATTCCAAAAGCAATAGTATAAACGTCAAACGAATTATCATTAAACGGGAGGTTTTCAGCATTTCCTTCTATCCACTGAACTTGCAAAAGAATGATGATATAAATGTCAGAATAATGAGCATACTGGAAGAAAACCCCAATTCTTCCGCCCGTGATTTCCCTACTTCCATCATGGATGGACTAATATCACAAACTGTGACGTCGAGACCAGTGAGGGGTTTCACATTCGGACTTCCGGCACTCCATTAATATGCTTAGCATACTTAAATAACCTAAAGGCAATATCACCTATGAAGATTGAGGCCATATATAGGCATAAGTAAATAAAACTAACCTGTTCCACCTGCAACGTCTAAGTACTTTAGTTTATCTGTTGGTATAATTCGGCTTACAAAACAATCTTTCCATAAACGGTGAACACCAAAACTCATTATATCATTCATCAAATCATATTTCTTGGATACGTTCTCAAACACATGATTTACTAGTTAAGAATGAAAAAACATGGTAAAAGTGATAGGTTTATTAAAACTCACCTTTCGATTGCTTATCCTTGGTTGCTACTGTTTCAAACCCAAAGTGTGTGGTTGACAGAAAGCTCTTCTGTGCACTCAGCAATCGAAACTTACAAAAAGCATTTGGATGTAGCATGAAAGAACGCTCATCTTCTGAAACGTACTGCAATAAATAGTACAGAATAGTTGTGCATAAATTAAGACAGATCTGACAGAGTTATTACGACACAGGATGATGTAGAACAGCTTAGCAGTTTAAATTGCCATTCGACTTAACAGTTTATGGCCTCAATTCAGAGGCCAATCTGCTAACTAGTATTACGATCCTTCTGAACTATCCAGAGTATTACTAATTAATCATCTGGGAATTCTCATTTTACGTTGAGCAACATTTCAGATGAAACAATCACGGATAACTACCAAAGGGACTAAACTAATGACCCAGACCACCAACAATATTTCTCACGTCACAAAAAACATAAACAGTCAGTATAGTAAGTAATTACTTCAGCCTGTTACTCTTCTTGGGACATAAGGTGCCAATTAGGAATCATCAGCTGGGCTTTCCCTGATAGTTATCGCCAAGTTCTATTCATCCTTTTGATGTCGCCCTCAACGTCCGAGTCTAGGCACGTGAGCAGTAAGTCACGTGTCCGATTAAGTGCTTAAGATTTGATAGCCTGTATGCTGTACTGCAGCATATATCGTCTGCTGTTTCAGACTTGATTGCCAACATTAGGCAGCTAGTGTTGAAGTCTGGTGGGCGTGAATATTTGCGGCAATTCGATATCAGAATACCAAGTTTGAAGGTCTCTTTGTCATCTAAAGAGGAACTGCGTACGTTGGATGCACGTCTCTAGAAAGGAGACATAAGCGTCAAATTTGTAGGTCAACAAAATTCATTGGACAATTTGCTTGTATTGCAGATGAACATACTGACGCGGCTAATGGATGATAATCCTAAAACGTCTATGCGCTATGTTTTTTCATACGTCAGGACACCTGGAGTCTCCAGTCATTTTAATCTACATGGAGCTTAATTTAAAAGTTTCTTTGTATATGTACCATTTCTAACGTCGATTGCAGTAGACGATTTGACGTGTACCCAATCTCCCAATTATAGGGAAAATCTGAATCATTTTGGAGAAATTTTGGGTAATATGTCACCTAAACCCCAAAATTTCAGCAAACTTGGGAGATTAGGTATTTAGGCAAAAAGTAGACAATCCAAGGTCGTTTGAAACACAGAGCAATGAAAATTAGGAAATCCGCATTGCGTTCCTTTGACAGATGAAAAGAAGACATTCTGGGGCGTTCTCTCATTATTTCCCCTTTCTTTTTCAACGCAATGCGTTGAAATATTTCTCCTTTGTTGGTTGTATATCCTAACGATATATGGTATAAAAAGAAAATTCGAGAAAACAAAACAAAAAATTCCTTTGGAACACTTGGTAATTAATAATGCAAAGATTTTAGGGAACTAAAACAGAATCCCTAGGAAGACTCAAGTAACTCATATAATTACCGCCAGTGTAACGGCTAGTCCATTATTTAGCGCTTACCTTTCAATGCCTAATGTTACAGGTCATCGTATTAAGCTTGTATAGACCAGATGATTTCTTTATTCTCACACCTCATTGTTACAGTAAAATCTCAGATATCTGGCGTTTTCCAATGGAGGTGGCCTATCCACTTTACTGCTTCAGTCCTAGTGAGTTTGACGGTTATTTTTGTGTCGATACGTCACCTCTCACTCAACTACCCAAACCCTCGAACTCCAACAGATCTCAAACAGCGGCGCAAGCACAAGCTCCTGGAAGCCCTGAAGAAATTTTGTTCGAATTCTAAGGACCAGTGTACATGTGATACTGACGTACATTGACTGTCAGCCTATTATGTTTGTGTATTTATGGCATCGAAAGCATATTTGATCAACTTTAATTTAAACTATTTCGGTTAAGGTCAGGAAGTTTCTTTAATTCCGTTTTGTGAAACTTTTTTGGTTGATCCACGTGATAATGATTGTCTTGTGCACTTTCGTCGGGTTTTCCATTTCAAATGGTCAGCTTTGCTTATAAATGTGGACAGCCGAGTCGTTTTTTCCTTGTGTTGGAAAGAATGCATTGTGATAAATGTAAGCAGTTCCACAAGTTGTAACCCGACAAAATCCCACTGCATACGAAAGATACTCGAAGCCTAACTTCCATTGACTTCTTAAGTTTTGCTGCCCGGGTAAAACATTGTCGATCCAAGAGGCGGAGGGATTTATGGAGTTTGGCAATAAGAAATTGATGTTGATTGCAGCGGTATCATGAGTACTGTTGGTGAACAATATTTCAGTGTATTAAGACTGTTACAGGACGAGCCAAACATCCTCCTGCTCAATATGGAAAAGACCTTTCAGACAAACGAGTAATGGAATATCACTGGGTATTAGACTTCATGATTCCAACGTAGCACCTTTAGTCCCGGATAAGACTGTAGCCGTTCCAACTAATCTCACTTTGGCTGTTCCGTGTGACATGGAGTGCATGAGAGTGCAGAAACAAAGAAGATAAAAATAGTCACAAACAGCACCCATTTGGCCAATAAGTCCTTGCCAGATTTCCATCCTGAGTCATATAACACTCCGCCATAGGCCAAAAGCAAGACTGGATTCTAACTTTACGTAGCTGAAAAAGTTTGATCCCTTGAAACATTTTTCGAGCGATTTACAAGAATCTATCGACTGTGACCCAAAAGTTAGATACAGGTATGATTTTTAGAAATTCGAAGCATTTGTTCGTAGTATTTTTCCACGTGACTCTACAAATGTTCAGATTAAAAACTGGCCAGAAAAGATAAGAGGGCTGAAGAAAATGCTGATCACCGATCACATAGACTTTCTTAAATAACCTTAGAGTCGGAGGAACAAAGGAATATTGTGCTAATTATTGCTCGAGGTCAAAATGACACTGACAAAGGAATGACGTGTCCATAGAAGATAGAATAAGAGAGGAGGCAGAACTAACTGAACTAGAAACTCGACCAAATTGGTGAAGAAAACCTCTGCTCAGTGAGTTTGGAAGGACATCAACTTAGCTAGTGGATTTGCTTGAATTCTTTAACCAAGAGGAACGGGTGAGGACAGTGTCTGATTACAGTTTTACGGGATAAGTGATTTTATATTTCACATGTGGCCTAAGATAACTGGCTCTAGATGCTTCAACAGACGTGCCACCAGAGGCCGTTTCCCAAAATAACCTCGTACAGGCTGACTGTGAAGTGCACTGTTATTTATAAAGTAGCGTTGACTGTCAAGCTCGTAGCTGGGGTTATAGATATTTGCATTAGTGTGAGCCTGGAAAGTACCAGATGTACGAGATTGGAAGCAGTTATGATCGTTTCTGTACATAGAAACCATTTTCACGTAGTAGTTATTTTGCTAGAATCAAACAACCGTGATCTAAGAAATAAACACTTGTAGAATTATGGTCTACTATGATATTAGTACTGCGCTAATAATAGACCTAATCCTAAAATTGTAGACTTGTCGTGATATAACTGCCTAATCTATAAGATCTTACGTGGAAGTTACATCATCGTCTACACCAACTCATTGCATCATAACAATTACCAATACATGCTGGAGAACAAGCTTAGGCTAGAGATAGGACGATATATTTAATATGGGTAAAAGATATAGGATAACAAGGACCACGCCTGCACGGCCGAGCCATGCCATTCGATCAACTCCAACTCATTCAATTCATTGTTCGCGCCTTCTCCATCGTTAGGTATTTCTCCGCGTTAAATATTGAATATCTATTTTCCGAGTTGTCTCGTGTTCAGCTTTGAGGATTGTGTGGTTATGGTCCAATGCCAATACACTACTCTCCCACCAGAATCAACGTGGTGTTGGTTCGATGCCAAATTGGATGGGATTTTCGTGCGCTGGAGGTTACCAGGACTAGTTAGAATCCCCCGGGTAATGATAAGCTGAAAGATAAATAAAAAAGAAGGCGACAGCAACTGGTCGAGAAATACATGTATTAATTTTAAAATATCTGCCTTTATGCTTAACACGCTTGAAATGGAAATTTGGGTGAAGATTATTTGAGCTATAAAAAATGGGATTACAGTAATAATAATAAAAGGATGCGTGTTGGTTAATAACTTAACTCATTGCTCAAACGCTTCTGATTGGCTCGTCGCTAAATTAGTCTCGCCGACAGTCTTTAAAGTAAGCTCGACAACCGAGTACCTGTCCACGGCTTGGCGTTCTCATGGAGCAGCCATATCTGATATATGTTCCGCACACGATCACTACTTTCACCATTATCATTACCACAATTAGCTTATCTAAGCTCATTTTACTCACTGTCTCCCCCATTTTCTAGGCTGCAATTAAACGCAACTCAATTTCGTAAATATGCCCTTCCGCTTAGCAACCAATCAGAATGAGGCGGGAATTATTACATCCGCCATCTTTGTAAGCAATGGCGGTCGGCTTTCTTCGTTCTGTGCTTCTTTCAGCTATTTCTTTTGTGTAGCTGTGTAATTTAATGTATCAGTGTGCTAAAATGCCGCAGTTAGTGTAATGTTCTATATGTTGGTGTGAAGTTTATTTCGAATCAGCGATGTTTTCTGGGTTTTGGCTGCTTCTACTCAAGTCAATGTATTTCTTCAGGCAATCTGGCTAGTTTTGTGTTATAAAATGTCGGCCGGCTTTCTCCGTTCTGTGTTTTTTCCTCTATTTCTTTTGTGTAGCTACAGAATTTAATGTTTCAGTGTGCTAAAATCCAAAAGTTAGTGTAATACTCGAAACGTTGCAGCAAAATTTTTCCTGATTTTGCTTTGTTTTCTGAGTTTTACCTGCTGCTACTGAAGTCACTGTATTTATTCAGCTAAGCTGGCTAATACTAACGTAAGACCTTACGTTTTTAAACGACAATGGGTTATGTTTTACCTTGTTTTCTAGATATCCAAAGCCGAAGTTCGTTTTTATTTAGCTAAAATAATTGTTGCTGCCGCCTGTGACTCTAACTGTTCGCATGTTCGTTCCTAACTGTCCTTTATGATGTTATCGGCAAAACGAAAGGAAACAATCTGCGTTTTTTTAATTTTCTTCAGTATTATGGACAACACTATCCCACCAACGAGTCAATCTAATACAGAGTGCCGAGCAGTAGGGTATATCGGTATTGATTTCAAAAGGACCCAGACTTCCGACAACTATAGATGAAGTCACAGATGCTACCAATCTATTGCAGAGGGTTTGTTATGAAAAATATGCCATATAGCAGTAATAGAGGGGTTGTAATCATTATGCAGTGTGTTAAAGAAAGCTTAACATTGAAAAGCCGGAAATCTGCTACCAGTGTGTAGTGTATGTTTGCTGTTTTGGCCATAAAAGGAAGCCGAAGTGTCATGATCAGGGAGTAAAAAGGTAATTAACTGTGATTAAGCTCACTTTTTTATAGATCATATTTCACCACTCGCAAATTTTCGTTTTCTTACGGTATGATGTCAACTGGTACCTAATATGTTCACCCTTACGATGAAAAGTACCTGCAAATTTTCACCTTCATATTCGAATTATTTTTGGACAACTGTTTTACAGTCTGAGTGCTTCATACGCCCCGAGAAACTCTATTTCTACAACAGTATAACTTTCTCACGCAGTAAGTTCAAATTAGACACTAGTCTTTCTAAATAGACTTCATGCATATTGTATAAAATAATAGTGTAATTATTCTGGATACTTTTCTTCACATCTCTGCAAGCTAATCTTATAACCTTTTATACACCAACCAAACAATCACCCGACTGTTAACGCGATCGCTTCAGGTTCTAGCAACCGCACTGCATTAGAACAAGCATACGAGTCTGTGCTTAAGAAAAATTAACCAACAGTCAACTATTAAAATCGCCAGGACTAGTTCAACTGAATAGCCAGACTAATCATGCTGGGCAGTATCAATGACCTAAAGCCATATCGTGGTATAAATACGATAGAGCAAATAAACAAGTTAGTTTGTACTAGTTTGTCACCCAGATATTGGATACTGAGTTGCATGTACTTGCGTGCAATTACAAAATACCTACGTGTTACTGTCAGGTACTGAAAAATCGAAACATAAATAATGTAGTGCTATTCATATTCCATTCCTTATCCTACCTTTCGAGGAATAAAGATATAAGAATATTGTGATCACAGAAAACCATCATCACGATATCAGTTTTTCCAGTCTCTTGACTTAGGAAGAAAGGTTATCAATATATAGATTTGGCGTTTCCTTTAATAATTTTCCAGCCTCCCAAGCTGCCAGCTTTGGGGAAATTTTGGGGAAATCCCCAAAGTGAAATAGCTTTCCCCAAAGTTTGGGGAAATTTCGGGGGAATCCCCAAAGTTTGGGGAAAGTTAGGGGAAATCTCCAAAATTTTCGTAGCGCATTTTTGCACAACAACATTTCATCGACATAATATGAATAAGCCTCACAGTAGTAAATTTAATAGAAAAATGTACATTTTAATTCAATACAAACTTTTGATGAGGGATAGTCTATCGAATTTCA